GGGTTTGAAACGACATAAGGTTCACACAGCAGCAGAATATGGTTGTCAGTCCTGTATTTGAGTCAGTAATATGGTTGCATTCACACACATTTCATTTATTTTACGGGATTGACAAACACATTCTATAAACAAACTCACACCCGTACATTTTCAAGACTCACAACTGTATATTCAGCAAAGCCCTGTTGTGTAAATGGGACAGCTATGTCAGCTGCGTGGGTTGCAGGCTTCATGTGTGGTTTGGGTAACTTACAGAGCAGTATTGCCAATTAATTTTGGGTGGAAGTTGCTAAAGGCAGGTCAGTTTTTTGCTAAAAGTTGCTTAATAACATTGTTATGTAACCATGACGCAAAACTGAATCATTGTCTAGAATAACGAGATTACTCAAATCTAATTTCTAAATTTCCGGATTTTTCACAGGTGTTTTACCTGTATTTTAAGTTGTGCATTGCATTTTGTGTTTTAGGGTTACGCTCTTAAAAATAAAGGTGCTACGATGCCATGGAAGAACCTTTTTGTCTAAATGGTTCCATAAAAAAACCTTTAACATCTGAAGAACCTTTCACATAGCCTTTCCCTGCAACTGTCACAGTCTGTTACGGTACACAATACACTCTGGGGCAGTTTCCCGGAAAGAGATTAAGCCAAGAGACCTAGACTAAAATGGCCCTTTAAACCAGACTAACAGAAATCTGCTTTCTCTGTCATGGTTTTAAATAGTCTTAAACTTAGTCTAAGTCTAGTCTTAATATTTGCTTGATTTTTTTTTCTTGAAATCCACTCTTGGTGGCCACCCTTGGCTATTATCTTGACTTTGTATCTTGTGAAGATCAACAATCTGTTGCTACACATCAGAACTCAAATCTTTGTTTTTTCTCATTGTGATGGATGATTAAAGGAATTTGGCCTTTTGGTGTCCCCTCATATTTATACTCCTGTGAAATATACTGCCGTGGCTGGATAATTGAATTTCATAATTTCTAGGGGTACCAATAATTGTGGCCAATATTAGAGAAAAACAATTATAATGTGATTTTGTTGAAAGGATAGATTTTTGTGATTTGTTTTTTTTTTAATGAAAGATCAAAAGGATAAACTACAGATTTATTTTCACAGCCTTCTTTGATCATGTGTGCAGTTTATTTTGCTTGCTTTAAAAAGTTTCCTCCTATTTCCTCACATTTTTTTCCTGCTGCCATTGCTTTCCTTGGATTTACTTCTCAGTTCCATACAATTTTAAGCATTTCTTGGTACAAGGTCCATGTTTAATAGACAACCTCTGTCATGCTAATTCAGATATATTTTAGTTCAGGACTTCATAGTCCAGGAGTTAGTAATCTGTACTTAATCTGTGTTTCAGAAAGCCATATTTTAAACCGTGATTAACTATTCTAGATTAAGGCCTACTCCTGGTTTAATTTAAACCCGTCTGGAAAAGTGCCCCATAGTGACTATTTACATAGACAACATCCTCATAAATTTGTCAGTAGGCTAAATTGTCTTTTTTCTGTTTTACTGTCTGCTTCTGAACAGAAAAATGTCAAAGAGGCATATTGTTGCTATAGTTCCCTTATTAGTTGAGTTGGCAGATTTTACAGAAATTATGCATAATGATGGCCACAGACTTAGATTTTTTTTCTAGCTCATCTATCCAGCTGAAGGACAGACAAGCAAGAAGCATGTCTGATATTTTGAGCCAGTTACAACAATCATTGGACATGTTCACACAGCAGCAGAATATGGTTGTCAGTTAAAACTGAACTGAAACTAGTGGCTTTTATGTAATGTTTTATGTTAACTTTAACTTAGACACAGTCTAATTATCCTTCAGAGATGTTTGAGTTGCCTTGATTTGAACTTGACTGCTCTGAAAATGATCTAAATGATGACTAAAATGATTTAATGGGGCTCACACAGCTTTTAAAAAATAAGGAATCATGAAGAGTGTGAAGAAAGAACTACGTCAAAGAACTAGGCTACATCGGGCCACAGGCCATAGCCTTTCCCTGCAACTGTCACAGTCTGTTACGGTACACAATACACTCTGGGGCAGTTTCCCGGAAAGAGATTAAGCCAAGAGACCTAGACTAAAATGGCCCTTTAAACCAGACTAACAGAAATCTGCTTTCTCTGTCATGGTTTTAAATAGTCTTAAACTTAGTCTAAGTCTAGTCTTAATATTTGCTTGATTTTTTTTTCTTGAAATCCACTCTTGGTGGCCACCCTTGGCTATTATCTTGACTTTGTATCTTGTGAAGATCAACAATCTGTTGCTACACATCAGAACTCAAATCTTTGTTTTTTCTCATTGTGATGGATGATTAAAGGAATTTGGCCTTTTGGTGTCCCCTCATATTTATACTCCTGTGAAATATACTGCCGTGGCTGGATAATTGAATTTCATAATTTCTAGGGGTACCAATAATTGTGGCCAATATTAGAGAAAAACAATTATAATGTGATTTTGTTGAAAGGATAGATTTTTGTGATTTGTTTTTTTTTTAATGAAAGATCAAAAGGATAAACTACAGATTTATTTTCACAGCCTTCTTTGATCATGTGTGCAGTTTATTTTGCTTGCTTTAAAAAGTTTCCTCCTATTTCCTCACATTTTTTTCCTGCTGCCATTGCTTTCCTTGGATTTACTTCTCAGTTCCATACAATTTTAAGCATTTCTTGGTACAAGGTCCATGTTTAATAGACAACCTCTGTCATGCTAATTCAGATATATTTTAGTTCAGGACTTTTCTGGACTGTTCTGTGTAGTGTTTTGCCCCTGTTTCTGGTCCTGTGTTTCCTTATTTGGGCCTTCCTGTTTCCATTAGGTTCCCTGATTAGTTCATCATTTGTTTCCAGCTGTGTTATTTAATTATCCTCATTTCCCTGTGTACTTAAGTCCTAGTCTGTTCAGTTTGTGTTTGTCGGGTCTACTCGTTCTCTAGGTGTGTTGGCTCAAGCGCCTATTGTGGATTATCTCCTGTGTTTCGTCATTAAAGACTGTTAAACGTTTCCTCGTGACTCCAGCGTGTTCCCTCAACAGCGTAATGTGACACAGTGTGTATGTTTGTTATGTTCAGAATGACTTGAAAGTCTGGTATTATAATGACCTTTTTTGTAACCATACTAAGGCCCTTTGTTTTTAAAGGGATAGATTACCCAATGTGTTGTACACTTGTTATTGTAGTGCATTATGGGATTAAATGAGTGCACTCGATAATGTCCACTATGGTTTCGGACACCACTACAAATGGCTGTCCCCTCAAACAGTACCCTATTTAAGGGTATAATGGGGCAATTTCAGACACAGTCTTGGTCTCGCACTGCTACTTTTTAAGAACTTATTCTGGACGAGAGTGGAGCACTATTATCATCAATTATCAAAAGAGACACCATTATCAGTTTCAGTTTCACATACTATATATATA